ATCAGGAACACACCAAGCACATACAACTATTACATGAGAGATTTTTACAATAGAAAAAAAGGCTCATTCCTATTGTGCAAAAAACAGTTGTACTGTCAAGTGTTAGTCCATGATACTATTGATGCATCCCAGATGTCATTGTCACTTTATTCATTATTCACTTAATTCTTTATGAGTCCTTAATAGAATTATTGAAGACAACTGAGTTTTTGTCAGAAAAATTATTGGACCTTGAACCAAACATCATTAAGAATATGTTTATAGATTTACAATAAAATGTAAAATTTAATACCAACACCAAAATTGTAACACTGTAACATGCCTTACATCAAAATAAGCCTATTTTTGATATTGACAAAGTCAATAGTGCTTTATCATTTCTGTACGCAAAATTGGAAAAAAATAGAACATTTCCGCCACCTTTTCCATTTCCACCTATTTCCAAAATAAAACATTTCCAAACTTATGCTAAATTTGCTCTTTCTCTATTATACGGTTTTTCCAACTAGGTGAATGTCTGCCCTGACAGCAACACATTACAAGCAATTCCCAAGCAATTCCCAAAATATCAGATCTTCAACTTAAATTACTTAAATATTCTTTCCTACACATAGTAAAACATTAAAATCTAAAAATATTCATAACAAGCAGTTTTTGGAGTAACCACAAGCGCTTTTTAAGCGCCTTTTTTTATTATCGCCGAAGCCGCGTTGGCTATCAGCTCATATATACGACTCGATTTCGTGGAATAACTTTCAACTATACTAGACTGTTATCACAGGAAATGTACTGGTAAACAAAAACAAACCCTGCCATAGGCGAATATTTTGATTCAACTGTGTTTCATTATATAGGTATTTCATGTTCTAACAAACAAAAATTCAACTTTCCTGTTTCTACGCCATACGGTTAAAAAAATAAATTTTCATAGAGAATGCATGGGTCATTTTAGAACTTTTACTACCCAGCATCTATGAACGCTGATAATCTCAGTTTATTATGGGAAGGAGAGCCGGTTAGTTTTAAAATATCTGCAAATATCTGCATTTTTTGTGAGTATTAAAACGCCATTCTCATCGATTTATTGGCAGCTTGGCAGTTGGCCAACATGATATGAAATCAAAATTACAAACACACTGCTAATAAATAGCTCAAATAATTCACCTAATATATGTGTGAAAATCAGATTTAATTAACAAGAATTTTTGATGTTAACTGAGCGAGTATCCTTAAAGTAAAAGAGTTTAAGCCCTCAAATCATAGGGATACCCTGGCTAATGGTGTAAACGTCTGGCTACGTGAACAAAAGGTGTTTGTACCGAATCAAGGCCAAAATGCAATGGATAGTTCTATTTCACCAAAGACCTATGTAAATGGCCTCTTATGAATTGTCCATTTTACAACAGAAAGCGCTCTTTATAGTGAAATAAAGAGATTGAACATTACATTCGCAGCTTCAGTTCAACGAAAGAAACGAGAGTAGATTATTATGCGTTTCGCTTAAACGCCAAAAGTTGCTCTTTCATTTCAGAACCACACGCGCATGTCATGTGTCTCCTTTGCAGTTTGCCATGTACGATATGCTTAATTATTATACTCGCATAAGAACTTACGTGGGACATCAACAACGGCTTTGCCACTTGTATCAGCACCAAGGGTGTTGTTAACTTTACAAATATATTCTCCAGCATCTTGTGCTGTGATATTGTGTTTAGTCAGCACACGGTTAGTTTTCCCTTCCAGAATCTTGCCATTCAGCGACCACGAGTAATTTCCAGCAGGATTAGCTGATGCATCACAGGTGAGATTCAATGTTTCAGATTCATTCAGTACCAGTCGGCGTGATGGAGACACTGTAACATTACGTGGTTTGTCTAGTCGAAAGTTAACACAAAATGTAAGTTTTACTCATGAAATACTACTATGAAAATGCTCCCAGTAGACCACACTTTGCACATAGAATTAGATTTAAATGTTGGCACTCAAAATATAACAGGTTTTACTGGGCACTTTCTCTCATTAGGTCAGCTTGAAAGTAGAACTAATGTCGGAATGGTAAATCATATTTTGTAACCAACGAACTCGACAATTGACGATTGGTGCACCCTAAGGCCATCCAAACGAAATGTAGATTTTGAGGCTGCCGTTCATTTTGCAACAGTGATGTCTGAATATGAAATAGATTAGGCCGGCTAATCTCATACCAGTAAATGACAAATATTTCCTTCCTTCCAAATTATGATTAAAGGCATTCGTTGGCTGAATGTCAAGCACTACCTTATGGTGACGTAATTTCGGGTTAACTATGCTGTTGACACTCACTCCCTCTGTCAAGAACTCCAGCACGATAGCTAAGTGGCTAAACTAGTCTCTTTCAGAGGCAGCTAGCCACAAAAAGAGTCGAATTCGCGTCCATACTAAAGTGACACAGTTTGAAACGTAAAGCAGTAGTTATGCGGCTGTAGTGTCGGCGAAGCCCGTCTGCCTGCGACACTTCTGGGATAAGTATACGAGCTTAACAATTCAACCAGTATGTGAAGTAGGGTGAACATAAAATAAGGTAAATTATCGAAGTTATTAATTTCAATTCTGACATTAGTACTTACAATACACTGTCACTGATCTGGAACATGTTCTAGTTTCGAATTTATTTGTAGCTTTGCATGTTACTGTCACACCATTCAGATCAGGAGTGGCTGGAATACTCGCGGTTGGTCCTTGATGTACTTTGTCTAGTGTAGTCCATGTATAGCTTACAGCAGGATAACCAACTGTTGAGCAATTCAAAACCATAGCATCGCCCTCGTTGGCTGAAGCAGGAGCAGTACAAACTGCATTCCTAATGTCTGTCGATAAGAGAAAAGTCAGCGATTAATTTTGTATGCACTTGAAAAACATGTCATGTTACATTGACTACAAATTAAAGTATACTCACATCGAACATAAACAACGGCTTTGTTACTTGTATCATCACCAAGGATATTCGTAACTGTACAGATATATTCACCAGCATCTTGTACTGTGACATTGTCTTTAGTCAGCACACGGTTACTTTCCCCATCCAGAATCTTGCCATTCAGCGACCACGAGTAATTTCCAGCAGGATTAGCTGATGCATCACAGGTGAGATTCAATGTTTCTGTTTCATTCAGTACCAGTCGCGATGGAGACACTGTTACATTACGTGGCTTATCTATCAATTCAAACAAAGACAGAGAAAGTGTTTTACCACAGTTAAATTCTCTCATTTTAAAATACTTAAAAGTATTGTAAGAAATACTTATGTCTCTAGTAATCATATTTTGCAACCAGCGAACACTGCAATTGACAAGTGAGGCAGCTTGAAAAGAACATGTATCTGAAGTATGTTTTTTGCACGGCGTCCATTTACTAGCACGATTATTACAACTGTGATTAGATCATTGGTATCTCACAGCCATAATAGTATTAGTCGAAATGTTTCCTTCCTTCTAAGGTAGAAAAAGTGTGGTGTTATAACGCCTCCATGCTAACGATTTTGAAGGTTTTTAATCCTTTTTCATTAATACACAAACAAAACAGTAAGCTGCAAATGTAAACAGCAATTTATGCATAGATAAGCAAAGCCAACACAATAGACTTTGTGTTCGACTCCCTGAAATATTCCAAATATAGCTCGTCTTTTTCTATAGAGTTTTTCAGCTCTTATGCGAAGACGGTTAAAAACAAAACGCATTGGAGACGTGCTTGCAGTAGAGGCAAAGTCCTTTTGTCCGCATCGCTTTTAAGCAATGAGCACTCACTCAGTAGTTGAAGTAAGATTTGCTTTATGTACATTGTTCGTAGAAAAGGGATACTTACAGTTCACTGTCAGTGATCTGGTGCAAGTGCTGATTTCAAATGTATTTGTAGCTTTGCATGTTACTGTCACACCATTCAGATCAGGAGTGGCTGGAATACTCGCGGTTGGTCCTTGATATACTTTGCCTGTTGTAGTCCATGTATAGTTTACAGCTGGATAACCATCTGCTGAACAATTCAAAACCATAGTGTTGCCCTCGTTGGCTGAAGAAGGAACAGCACAAACTGCATTGCCAATGACTGTTGAGTAGAGAGTAAGCGATTAACTTTGGATACACTTGAAAAACATGTCATGTTACACTGACTGTAAAACTATACTCACATCGAACATCAATAACGGCTTTGTTACTTGTATCAGCACCAAGGGTATTCGTAACTGTACAGATGTAGTCACCAGCATCTTGTGCTGTGATATTGTGTTTAGTCAACACACGGTTAGTTTTCCCTTCCAGAATCTTGCCATTCAACGACCACGAGTAGTTTCCAGCAGGATTAGCTGATGCATCACAGGTCAAAGTCAATGTTTCTGTTTCATTCAGTACCAGTCGTGATGGAGACACTGTTACATTACGTGGCTTGTCTATTCAAATGTAGAAACAAAAATGTAAGTATTACTTATCTCAAACTCAAAGTAAGCTTCAAAAATTTCACTCCGAAATTGTCAAGTTCACTATTCATTCATATCCACACAAACGCCGATTAAGAGCTTTTTCGATCGATTTTGATTGTAATTCTTAACAACGCAAACACTGAAACTACAATATAGATGTAATTCTAAACATAGATATAGTTACGCAAGGTACTAAATGCTTTTTGAATGCCCATAAACAATAGTAGCTGACAAAGGCTCTTTTTAGATTGGCTCTAATAAATGTTATGTGTAGCTCTATCAGTGAAAAGACAGCTTAAGCTTAAGAGCATTAATCATGAGGATGGGTATGGATTTGATCACTTCAGTCTAAATGTAAAGTTGGATTTGCTCTATGCATGCACGGATGTACATGTGAATCTGATATCAATACTTACAGTACACTGTTAGGGATTCGGTGCATGTGCTCATTTCAAATGTATTTGTGGCTTTGCATTTTACTGTCACACCATTCAGATCGGGAGTGGCTGTTATACTCGCGGTTGGTCCTTCATGTACTTTGCCTGGAGTAGTCCATGTATAGTTTACAGCTGGATAACCATCTGCTGAACAATTCAAAGCCATAACGTCGCCCTCGTTGGCTGAAGCAGGAACAGCACAAACTGCATTGCCAATGTCTGTCGATAAAGAGAATCATATGAGCTTTAGAAAAAAGCACTGGCTGGAAAAATAGGTGGCATGCTAGAGTATTGCTAACTACAGTACATCTTCAAAATGACCGCATAAGTCTAGTAACATGGAACATAGAGCACATGATTTGCTACTAAATAATGCAAAAGGCTTGAGGGGACTTTTTTTAGAATTATCCAATAGGCACTAAGCCTTCCGTATATAATTGAGAAAGTACTTATAGAATGAACTTACATTTAACACGTAATGTAACACTGATGCTTTCATTTCCCACCAAATTAACTGCAGTACATGTATACAGCCCAGCATCATTCGAAGTAGCATTTCTGATAGTGATTGTATTGTTTTTATTATTTGAGCTCTGTATCATTTGGTCACTCTTCTGCCAGAGAAAATAASGATCTGGGTATCCATCGGCATTGCAAATGATGTCAATTAGTTGTCCTTCATCGACATCTAAGGTACCATTTGACGCGTTTACAACCGTAAGGTTCTCAGGTTTGACTGAAATAATAGTAATAATCAAAATACATTAGAAACTAAAGCACCAGTGTGAAGTATGRCACAAAAGAAAACTCAGGAGAAAAYATGGATGAAGATAAATGTAACTCCTATCAAATACAGTCTAATGACGATGTTATTTTGAAAACACGTTACTGTATATTTGATACAAAATCTATAGAAAACACTAAATAACAGATAAATACTTAATCTMATAATTAATCGATAATCGATCAAACTGACATGCAAGTAATCGATGCATCGTTATTCCGATTTTTTGACKATCACAAAATCTGAAATCCAATCAGTGCTGGTGCAAGCTGCTATTTCGAATTGCTTGACTTTCAAGATTATGACTATAATTGTTTTTCTTCATCAGATTTACATTTCCTAGAATAATGGCCTTATGTGCATGCATTGTAATTATTGTATGATCTATTAAAAGATTGAGTTAATTTACCTGTGCGTGACTTGAACTAACTAGGACACAAAGCAACCACTTCTTGCACAAGAGAGTGAATGGAAACGAATGACTGGATACCAAAGTGATTGAAAGAATAAAGAGCAACATCAAGTAGACAATGCATATGGATAGAACAGTGCTTTACATGTATGTCATTATGATTATCTGATGATGGCTATGTACACATTGATTTAGAATTAACCAGTATTATATTAGTCAACATTAATTCATTATTTATGAAACACAGACATTTAAAATATCAAACAAAGAAGACAATCATTAAGGCTGATTTACATTGCACAATTGTCTCGTGCGATTTGTAGTATACGAC